CAGTCGGACCAGTCCGTCTTCCAGTTTGGGGACCACGAGGTGCTGAAGCTCAGTGGTTGGAAACATTGGATGTCATGGCCTGCAACAGACATCAGTGGCGTCAATGTTGTTCGAGCATTTTAGCCCCCGTTTACAGCACATAAAGTACTCGTGAAACAAACACACACAAAAACCAAAATGGTGGGTGTAAAACCAAAATAATGGTTTCCCTTTTTCTAGCTCGCAGTTCGTGTTTCTATCTTCTCCATTTTTTCTTCTGCCATGATTCTGAAGGCACAATGCCTGTTAACAGACTGTGCATATATATATATATATATATGTATATATATATATATATATAGATGCATTCTAGCATTCCATCTTGAGCGCATTAAGCGGAGACGTGATGGTGCATAGTAGTCGCTGGGGATGTGAGTTGGGGGGGGGGGTTGACGTTAAGACATGTAGTGTAGATCACGCGAACTGGAGACTGGGAAAGGAGGATGCGGGTTAAAATGTGAAGAATAAAAAAGTGAGGTACTGATACACCAAGCTGTATGCAGCAGATAATGCCCATTGCACGCCGGCCGAAGCAGCACAAGACTATCAGTATTCGTGTAGGTTATATATTTGGTGCTTGGAATTACACAGCGCTAGTGCTTCCACACTTGAACGGTAGAACGAGTCGGGTCCCCACTCAAAGCCCTCGATTTGAAGTTGTTGGGTGGCGCCTGGGATACTAGTCGGTAATCAATAACACATAAGAGGTGTCAAATATGGGAAAGTATAGAAGTTGTAGGCGACTGAACCCAAGGTGTATTGTGCCGGCTATAAAAATAGGTAGCGAACGAGAAACAGTGTAGCAAGGTACTCACCAAAACAACTTGTGACGACGGAAGTGCCGTCAGTAATATAAGCGGACGTTTTGAAGGTTAACCCGGTAAACTCCAATGTTGCAAAATGCTGAAAGGGCGTGTTTACCGGTACACCACAAGGTACTCCATAATGTCAGCGGGAAAAGCGCTATGAACCAATCGAATCACGTAGACATGTTCTGGTTCATGACCAGAACAGTCTAACTCAAATGACCCCCAGCGGTCTCCACGGCAGAACTGGGGCCGTAGCCGGTCAATGGTCTGTCAGGACATCTCGACTACTTATATTGCCGTTGCATGGGACGGTCCAGAGAAGCAAATTTTGTCAGTCAGGGTTGAACCACTTCAGGGCAGCCTTCCTCACTTTAACATTACTGAGGATATGTTGGAAGCTAAAAATTTATTAGTGACCTAAACAGGCGAAAAGCACCCGGCGTTAAGTCAGGACGATAAGAGAGAATGCCACCGTAACGAGGTGATGAAATCGAATTAGATGATTGCTTCACTTACGTTAGCAGCTGCAGAAGAAGCGATGAACGGACAACCTCCGAAGTCAGCTGACTTTTGAAAAGTCTAGAACAGTTTTCTTGAATCTGCAACATTTAGTGCATCAGAAGGGAGTTACCAACGGTTTAAATGACGGTGTGTGCAGGACCACTGTAACGCTACAAAGCCTTTGGAAGTTTAAGCCACAGGTATCTCACGGGAATGTTCAACAAGAGACCACGTCCGGACCTGAGAATACGGTGCAATTTGTACAAATTCATTGTATCAAAAGAGACATTAACGATTTCTAAACTCAAAAGTATGCAAAAGTTCACGCTCAGCTCCACGAGCGACCAGTGAGTTCAAGATGCAAAAGAAACAGTGAAATTAAAGTTAGACACATGGCCTATGGTCAGAATCCAAACAAGCCAATAGTGATAGGGGTTTGCGTCCGCCAATGAAAGCCTGCTGCGATAAGATCTAGCATACCTAGCTGTACAAAGCTGTGAGAGACATACCAATCAATGAAAACCATGGAGATAGTCCATGTCAATAGGGGTACTTGTACCTAGGCGCGAAAACGTGGCAGGACGTGGATGAACAGGAAATCGGACACTACGTCACACAATGAGGGAGTCATGGTACGTAGCGTTGGAACAGAAATGGACAAGGGAATAGGTATACAAATGATCCACACGGGGTGATGAGGCTAACCAAGGTAAGTAGATATTTGACAGGGATGAGACTTGGGTGGTCGCAAATTCGTTCTGCAGCCACCTTGATGGCGATCTCACTCTATCAGAATGAGACTTGGCCCTTTCGGTTTGACGATCTGAATTACCTCCAGTTGTTTGGTGCTTACTGCCTACGGAGTATTGCAGGTGTCAGGTGCCAGTAGCGTACCTGCAACCATGATGCGCGTAGGCGAGTACTAGTTGGTGACAATCAGGTTATTTGGTCTTAACAACAAATAAGATTTAATACTTACGTTAGCTTCGGCACATACTACGTATGAGCGGTTACCGCTTACCGTCGAATGCCTTGTTGGTCAAATATAGGGTGGCACAATTATCGTGGTGGAGTAACGTTGAATTGGCAGCGGGAACTGTAGTCACCGATGACCAAACTTGGTGCTGTTGAGCTGCCTGTCCAGGCTGGAGTCCAAATGAGTTGCCTTGTGGTTGGCTCGAGATAGTACAAAGCAGATGTCAACTTTTCCATGAAGGTGAAGAGCGTAAAGTTGTTTTAAAACAAATGTGGCACCCACATTTCGAAACACCAAATGATTTTGATTTATCGCAGCTGTTGTTACCAAAGTAATATTAAGAATGTTCACAATTTTCAACAGGTTCTACTTTTACTGTTAATGAAAAACTTAGCAACGTGCTTAGTATACCCAGAAATGACACGCGTAGACTGAGATCCACCTCAACGGGGATCAGCATTAACGAATACGCGACTAGCTACGAAGAACTTGTGGCATAGGAATATCTTACTATAGCTGAGTTTACTATCACCATACTGCGAGCGATTTTAAGTAAAATGTATCCGGTCTTATGCCCTCTCAGTGCAAATGTAATACGTGGATCGGCTTGCAAGGTAACATTGTTGCCCGCCATGTTGTATAGTGAAGCGAGCAGCGCCTCCTAACAGTATCAGGGCACAGTTATCAATTCTTGATGGGAGCAGTCTTCTCACCTTGAGATCAGATTTTGACCTTGAAACCAAAAGGTCATAGAGTGAATTGAACTACCCATGTATAATTAAGAGTGCTCGCTTTATTGCCTTCTGTATTTAAAGCTAATAGAATCAAATCACATGTTTAACATCAACGGATTTGTGACTAGCCTTGAAACAATCTGCCAATCACTTTCCATGTCTTGCTGTTACAGATAACACGGAGAATTCATGATAACCAGGAAAATGTCCCATAGCTTTGTAGTTCGTAGTTTCCCAGCAGTTGCGTATATACGCTAGAACTTCTTATATTGCTCCCATTACTTGTCAAGTAATGACTAATAACCAATTAATTAATACGGCCTTCCATCAGTATTGCTGGTTCGAGAATGACGTCTAGATTCAGGTGATAGCACACGTCCGAGACAGCGTTTCACACAAACAGAGAAAGCTCCTAAATCCAAGCTCCTAGTCCAAGGGGTAACACTGCAAACTCTTGGTCCATTAAACATTTGTCACTTAATGATGAGATAAAATATTACGGATCGTTTTTGTGCCGAATGTGGAAGACAAGCTTCATACCCTGGAAAGATAACCACGCGGTTGACGATGGAACGCGCTGATTTACTTAACTCCCAGCCCCAAATTTACCAGCTAACGTTACTATGAGATGGATTCCAAACGGACGACTACCATGCTCGGCCTCGTTAAATGGAAAGCTTCCGATGCTCCGTATTCCCCAAAAGCTTCAAGCGGATAACACTCGCTGCCATGTCCCAACGCTGCGTCGATCGTATACTCGCACTGCAGGGAAGAGCGCTGTTGTCAGGCATCTCCGCTCTTGGTATGGTTAAACCGACTAACCTGGATAGTTGCATAAACGGTCGTACAGAATGTGCTTAGAGACGAACCTAGCTGTTTGCAAGCATGGTTGGAAAATGCAGTGGGTACTCCTCGAGAGTCCGTGTGGACGACGGTTCATGCTGTGTTTGCTTTGTACCGTAGGACCCGAACCTTGTGATCTTGGTAGTAGACATATTCTTAGACAGCAAGCCGTGCATGTTCACGTTCCGACTTTGAGAGATAAAACTACGGATGGCGCATTAAATCAGCTGTGGGTTTCCTTAGATAGTACACAGTCGCAGGTGGCGTCACGCCACCCGGAGTAGTCTATCAATGTGAATGGGACCGGCCACAGGAAGTCTGTGACCACGGATGGCTAGTGCTGTATGGCTCACAGCTCCGATAGCACCGGCCCGTTGCCTACGGGTAACGATTTTGTCTCGTAATCTTGCGGCGCGGGGTCGAGTCCGCGAAGCGGTGGGTGTCCTCGCGGTATACTCAGCCCGCGTGCAACTGGTGGTGGTCATACGGCAGCGAAGTGCCGTTACGGCGTACAGCTGGCACATTATTTATTATTTATTACTCCATTCCCTGCAGCGATTAGCATTTTCCGGCGACCATTAGTCAAAGTGGTTGTGTTGTGGGTTCTTTTTCAACATCTATGCCATTCCTAAATCAATTGCCTTCATAACGCAGTCAAATTCCCCTGTAAGAAGTTCATATCCCTCCGTATGCCATTCACGATAGCTCCTGCATCTATCAAATTGCATCCAGGCTCAATACATGCATGCTAGCAAATTGAGAGAACCATCTTCAACACTATATTACTTTGTGGGTTCTGTTCCATGCATACTTGGCTATTACGAACTTAGATGTTTTTGAAAATAGTCGCAAGCACTAAAACACTAGAGCAAATTTCTGTGAACGTATAAAAACTGTGCATAATATGATCATTTCTTGCAGTGTCATCAATAGCCAGTTACTCTCAGTAAATAGTTTGTACCAAACGAATCAAGTAGATCAATCAGACCGAATACAATCAACAATTTTCTACCTCAAACCCATCGATAAAAGCCCCATTTGTGGACTAAATGTCCTCAACACTATTTGATTCTATTCTCTCCTTCTGCAAACTTTCAGATTTCGCAGTATCTCCGCGAGCTTCTATCGAAAAGCCGATGGCATCTTATTGGTGTACGACTGCACCTCTGAGGCATCCTTTCTGAACACCAGGGAATGGCTGAGTACAATACAGGTGACCTGAAGTCCATTTGGCTTGACACATTATTGCATGACTCGTTACTTTCAGGCATAGGCTCAAGCTTCATGAACTTACCATATTACCCATATATGAGTTGTTGGTAGCTAAGATCTAACGGAAGCGCTCATTCCAGATTCCTTTTATCCTTCTGACCGGTTATGGCAGTCCACACGGGAAATACATTTTACCTATAATAGAATCGAAACATTCTAATCTTGCCATTGATGATAAGTGTATCTCACAAATTCCGAGCGACCACACATTTGGGGTGCAGATACAGTTGGGGGAACTCTAAGTTAATCACGCATAAGGAACATGAAAGTGAACAAAGATGCAACCTTAGAAATAAGTTCAGCGGACCGCAGGCTATTTCGTTTTGGACTTACCCATAGACAATATTTTCTAGCGACAGTAATGGGTCGATCATTTGGGACGTGCATAAGAAGTGGGTGTGATAAATTCAGGGTTCATATCTTTTTCTGTCTGGTTTATCCATGCTATAGCACGCCTGTTGGCTGTCATCCCTGTTCGACATCGGTGACATCACTTGTCTGGTAGTATACTTGGCCTGGTAAAAGTTTTCTGCTAACAGCAAAATACCGCACACAAAATACTTCATGGAAAGATGCATACTTCTCGAGATGAATTACTGAAATGAAAGTTGGAATAACTTGTGGTAGTTAGATCTCTCAGAACCTCAAGCAAACCGAGGGCTGGTCAGCGATTCAAAAAGAGTTGTTAATGAACAGAATGTCATTTCACACTGTACATAAAATGGAATCAGTATTTAACTCCTACACATTTCAATAATTGATTCTTGCAAGCCATCTGCCTATACATTAGCTCCCGCTCGTTGTTCGTTCGCAGTTGCGCGGAGCACTCCTTAGACTGGAACAAAATTGCGCTTTATGCATAATACCCTAAACATTTCTTGGTCTTTCATCCGGTTTTTGCGAGCCCCACTAGCTTGCGTCAGCTGTGTTGATTGGCTTTCTACCTGCCGGTTCTGTTTGTTCCGGTCGATCGATCGACCAGCTGTCGTTGCACCAAATGTCATCCGCCTTGGAACACTGTAACATTGTCACGGCTGAGCCGCACGGTTTCCGTTGACAGCGGTTATGTACAATGAATTTACTTATCGCATACAGTAGTTGGACCCAGGCAGCTGACGCTGGAGAAGGTGTTGATGTCATCTACCTGGATAATTCCAAGGCTTTCGATCGTCTAGACCATCAGATACTACTATCCAAGCTGCAGCATTACGGGATCGGAGACTCTCTTTTGAGCTGGATTACCAACTTTTTACTTCAACGGCAATTAGTCCTCAGAGTTCGGAGCTCTTTACCGGACCTCACACAAGTCGAGTGTGGGGTGCCGCAAGGCTCAGTTCTAGGTCGACGTTTGTTTTTGGTGTTTATTAATGACCCTCCACAGGGAAACGCTTCAAACTTCCTAATGTTTGCCGATGATATCAAGATCTGGCGCGGGATCCAGGGGAACTCCGACCAACATGTGCTTCAGAGTGACCTAGATACGGTATATCGATGGTCAACCCAAAACTTACTGCCTTTCAATGTCAGTAAATGCAAGGTACTTTCCATCCGACATCAGAGCAGCTGCTCATACCGGCTCGGAACAAATATACTACAACGATCCACCCTCGAACGTGACTTGGGTGTCCTGGTTCAAGATGAGTTGGGTTGCTTCAGGCAATCCGAAAAGGCCTCGAAGACTTGGAATCAACACGCCAGGCTGTTGCGACGGGCTTTTGGACAAATAAACAGCTCCATATTTCGACAAATGCTCAGTGTGTATGTTCGCCCGCATGTCGAATACGCAATTCAAGCCTGGCATCCATGACTGCAACAAGACTTTAATGCACTGGAGCAGCCACAAAGTCGGGCAACTAAGAACGTAATTGGAATGCGCAATCTTTACTACCAGGAGAGGCTGCAACAACTGGGATTGTTCAGTGGAAACTATCGCAGACTACGAGGTGACCTGATTATGGCATACTTGATTCTGCGAGACCCACATCATGTGTGCTGCCCTTTACTGCTACTCAGCAGCAATACAAACCTGAGGGGCCACTCATTAAAACTCACAGAACAGTACAGTCGTCTGGAGTGCCGCAGCAATTCCTTTTCCATTCGTGTCTGTCACCCGTGGAATGCTCTCTCATAATCGGTCGTCTCTGCACTGACCCTAACAGTATTTAAAAGACGCTTGGATGACGCACTCATCCAACTACACTATGTCACTTTGAGGTACTTCTCCATCCTACACCTGGAATTTGTCATGGAATTATTTGATGTTAACTGCGGGTGCTGTGAATCTAAGTGGATTGTAGGACTACGGCGGAGCAAACGATAAGTTCTTATTTTCATACTTAAAATATTAACTGTGTTACCATCAGTATTTTCATTATTGTTATTTCGATATCGCCACCAACTATCCAGCGGGACTTGTAAACCAACGCTTCTTAACTCGTATCACTTTAGTGTTTATTATTGCGTGTTCATAGTCACGTGCTGGCAAACCGCCTTCTTCTGTCCCGGATCAAAAGCGCTATTTACTAACAAAAATATAACCCAATTACTCACTCTTCTCCTGACCTGTGGAACCGTGTTCAGCTTGTTCTCGTGGTGCCGACTAGCTTTCCAGTCCAATGAGCTTACGTGAATTCCGCTCGCGTAACCTGCCAACTGTCATCACATTGAGATGACCTAGCTCAGCATACTCTATGCAGCGATCTCCCCGTCACTTGCCAATATTCAGGTCAAGCGCGGATACACCGGGATATTAGTGAACAAAAGCACCGGAAATACAAGCAAATTCACACTCAGGTATGCCTCCAAACAACTGCCTACAGGTCCGAGCCACTTCAGACGTCGCAGTAGAAGCATGCAAGACACTCCGTAGATGCCGCTCTGGTGAGATATCTCTGTGACAGAAATTCTGTCACAACAATGGATTTCGAAATAGCAAGAAGAAAATGCTTTTAACAGGATACACTGAATGAAGATCTTTCGAGTATTCTCGTCAGCCATTTACATACACTCCGTGAAATTTTCGCGTCGCGCACAAAAGGAAGCAGAGGAAAAGGTCATTCAGTTCGACCAAGGTAGGTCGAGGCTGGCCGGGAGTTCAGTCTGCTTGCACAAATTGAGTTTCAGCTTCCGAAAGGCTGAAGCTTCGGCAAACCGGAGCAAGCGGGTATTGCTCTACAAGTTGATTACTTTAAACACACCATTAGGGCGTCGGCACAGTGCATTCCAAAATTTGTTCCGCAATAGAGCTGGCCGGCAGTTTCGAACCGTTGGCGACCATGTTTCGGATGCGCAGAACCCGACGCAGACACAGCTGGTGACTTGGCTTCAGCTATTGTATAACGTTCTTGTAGCAAGTTCAAGTTTCGTTTAGTAATGGAGAACACCATAGGGCTTACTTCCAGAAGAGTTACAAATTGCCGAATGCCGCCCATGCCGTCGACAGGCGCGCGCAACTCGATGGTCATCTGCAAATCTGTTGACGGTACACCCTGAGGTGACAAAATTTTGATGAGCTCTCCTAAACTTCCTCATGTTTTTTTATTCCGCCCCTGGGGATGGCTGGTAAGGGCATACAGTTTTGCCTGTGTAAACGATGAGTACGGACTTCGGCGCGGTTGAAGCGGAAGCCGTCTTCATACGTTGTAACTCATCTTCGTTGGATGCAAGCAACATCCGGATTATTGGCTCACGCAATCTGGTTCTCACCCCGAACCAATGAATGTTCCACAACTCATCATCGTTGCTGTGCTCCAGATGTACATAGTAATTATAAACAATGAAAACAGTAGATCTCATAAAATTTAGGTAAATATTGCTTAGAGTAGATGCGAAGACACATCGTCAACAACAGTACATCAGCCATTTGAACTGAAGCTTCCCTGCCGTACAACTACAGTGACCTAAAGTACGAAGAATTATAACTGGGAGAGTAGAAGGACCCAGCATAATATCTTAACACACAAAGCAAACATTCAGGGTCAAGGTGCCTACTCCTTATATCAACAACATACGGTTACAAACAGCCGGTTATCGTGCAAGAATAAAGCAGCATCGGTGAGACAGATTCCTTACGACTTGCACAGCCCCACTTCATAATCGGCCATTACCCCGCAGATAACTCAACACCAAAAACACCGCAAACAGTCCGACTACGAAACAACGACAGATGTACCACAGGGGTCGGTTACAAGCCATGTCCTGTAACTTCTCGTGCGAAGCACAAGGCGTGTCAGGTGAAATGCAGCCTAGAAGACGGGACGGGCCGAAGGCATCCAGTTTAGTCCTCAGTGATTTCATTTCTCTCTGCCCATTTATCTTTTGCCCACCTCGAACTTTGCACCAACCTACATCTGGCAAACAGAACAAAGCCCTCCTCGGTAGGCCGTGACTGGGCATACCTAATACGTGCCCAAGCAAACTCAACTTATCAGTGTTATCTGTTGTTCCAAAGAATTTGCCTGACAAACATTGCCTAATATTTGCCTACACACATCATCCTTGCGGACACCCTGGTGCCATTCGACACCAGAAATGCTCCGTAAACAGTGAAGAAAAAGACTTAAAAGCATCTCAGATCCGCAAACGGAACGGGCCAAGTCTCACATTCAGGTAGTAGAGTAGGACAGCCCTCACTATGACAAAGGGAACCCGGCCTTTCAAATGTAGAGGAACTCCTTTCTGACGACACAGATTCAAATTCATGAGGCACTTCTAGCTGACGTCGCGTGCACTGACTTCATTTGCTATGTGCTCGTCATGAAGTGATCAACTATCTCGAGTTCGGCGCTCTTAAGGATCAAGGGGTTATCAGGTAACTGGTGGTCATGCAACAGCAATTTGCAATTTGTAAATGCGATGCGCATGCCACTCTGGAGAGGTTATTCAGGTTTGGTTAGACCACTCCAACATCGCTAAGCAAAATTGCAATATCGTCTGCAAAAT